AACAAGAACAGCAGCTCATGCTTCCCATCTCAGGCCACGAGCAAACACAGGAGGCAGCATCTAAGTTTTTTCTGCTGTGTTATCTCCTCCAGAAGAGGAGTTATACAACGCGAGCCTTATGCATTCAGACTTGCACAACTGTCTCTGTGCCTTTTTTTTTCTTTTCATAAAGGGCCAAGCTTTTACCATTTAAAAGGCTTGGCCATATTATTGTTCCCTTTACAATTGTACAGCTTAAGTTCCCAACATACAACAAACAGATTTGTGCCACCAGACTTTCTGTGGGCTAGGATCAGTGTATTAAAATTAGAAACAACCGTTTAATGAAGAGCAACCTATATATTCCAGCAAACTTTCTAAGAAATGAGAGTCTGAAGTTAAGCATCTTAAAAGTTTTGAAAAGTGAAATCCACAGATCTCAGTAGGAGCTGCAGGGTTTCTGTTCTAGTGAAAAACATTAGTCCTGTATTTCATTGCTTCCTTACATGTATTAAGTGTTAAGACCTTGGTCAGAAAAATAGTTCTGAAAAATTCAGGAATATTTCAGATGACTTCCAGGTCTATAAATATGATCACGCTCTTAGGAAGAAAGAGGAAAAATTCCTACTCACCAGAATTATATATCATGGTGACCAGGAAAGTAAAGTAGACTAGGCTCCTGCTCCCTCATGGCTTCTTTATGGCATTCCTTTCACTTTGCTGAAGTTGCTCCTCAGAGGAAATAGGAGTAGCTTTGGTAAGCAGAGTTATCCCTGCAGCTGGCTGACATTATTTAGGACAGGCAGTACATTGATTTTCTATTTGCCTTAATAGGTCACACATACAAAATGGATACACCAATTGATTGTTCGTCTAAAGCAGAATTAATTGCACACACATGGTCACACACTACAATTTCTGCCAACATGATTTGGAATGCAACTAAGAAAACCTCAGCTGTGGACATGTGCTATTGCAGAACAACATACAACTTAGCTAAACTGGCAGATATTATTTAGAACTCTGACAGAATGAGTATAAGGCCACATTTTCGATCATATAATCCATATTAGATCCTACAGATCTGCAAGGTTTTTACACTACGGCTCTTTTTCTTTTGTTTCCGGTCAGACTACCACCAGTTTGTCACTTCCAATTAACCTGAATATGTACATTTTCTAATTTCCAGTTATGCCATTCCAGACTTTGGTCACTGTTTGGCAAACATCTCTTCAGAAATGCATCATCTCAGACTCCAGCAGAACATCAGTGCATCATACTTTAATTCACTGACCATTTCAGTTTAATACTAGCCACAACTTACACAAGTCTGCGAGCAGCTAAACTGTTTCCTTCTCCCTCTTAAGTGTACTAATATACATACGTAGCTTGACTTGCGATTTCTTTTTGTGCACTCTGAAGATTATTTCCCATTTTACAGTGACAAGAGGAAAGCCTAGTAACAGATGGGTTTAACTCACTTTTATCTACTGTTGGTATAAGGTTTACTGTCTTCATCCACTGATATGCCATGCAATAACCAGCAAGTCAACTGTTTTGTAGCCCCATAACATTACTCAAAACCCCCAAACACCAGAGTTTCACACTGAAACGGATGATAACAAGTATATAAACCCTGTCAGGAATACATGTCCTTAAGAAAATGTTCCTCTCTACCTCCCCAACTATGTATTTTGAAAACAAAACCAAAAAGGTTTAAAGTGTATTTCAGAACAGTCAGTTTGCTCTCTGAGCACAATGAAAAAAATCCCTCTGCCGTACAAAAAAAATACTTTGTAGGTTTATTATAATTTAGGAGCATGAGTAAAAGTATTTTATAATAGCTTAAAATCCATGGCAATCTCTCCTGTCTTTGTGTCGAAATTTATAGCATACGTGACAGCACTAGGAAGGTCTGACAGAGTTTCTGACTCAATAACAGAACTGAAGAAATAGACAGCTTGCTTGCAGTGGGGATTCCATTCACAGTTTCCCT